AAATATAATAATAATAATAATTATTATATCTAATAAGCTTAAGAATCTAATAATCTCAAGAATCTAATGATCTGAAATAGTTACACTTGGCAATAACTTTATGATATTAAAAATGATAATATGAGGAATATTTTTAATCTTTATTAATAGATTTGTGCATAATGGACATTAAAGGCATACTTTTAAACCATGAATTTAAACATAATAAACTATGAAACGACTCGACATTCAATTTGTTCCTATGTTTTCTTATTATCAGAGAAGTCTTCGAATTCACTCTCTCCGATGAAACTGATATTGCCATTGTGGCTAAAAAATCTTTAATTATTCTTGAGATGTTCAGAAAAGATTTTTCATGAATTGACCGTTAATTCAAAATGTCGATGTTCGTCAACTCGAGGAATTGCATAATACTGCATAAGCTCTTTCTTTCAATAATTATTTTGAACGCCATTGTCCGTTTCTTTTAAAAATAAAAAATTTACGTCCAAATCAAATTCATCTGTCTTTATAATTTGCTCGATTATTATTGTCATTGATACTATTAAGATCAACATAATATTGTTCTTTAAATATTTCCTCAAATTTCGCCACAGATCTTTCAAATCTTTTCCTCATGCTGTTTTGTCAAAAATTTCAATTCTATGCCGAGGATCTAATATCAAAGAAACGCAATATATCCAATTGGATTTCTTGTAGTATTTTAAAATTTTATTTCTTGCCGATTGCAGGGCAAAAATCGACTATTCATCTATTGTACATCTATCGTTTTTATTATTCAATTCGTAAGCTCATAATTCCAGTTTGTCTAATAATAATAGATTAATATCAATAACAACCATTGCGTGCAGTATTTTTCATCCGAAAGTATAAAGTCGATAAACATTGAAATGGACACAAGTAGTTTACTACCGAAATGTTTAGAGCCTATTTCACAGCAAATATGAAATTTTTCCTATAATTGTTCTAATCGTCTTATTTTTTTTTTTTTGCAATTATTCTTATTTTTGTAACTGGTGAGCCATTAATCTCCATATCATCACTATCATTTCTTTCTCTTCCAATTCGTTTTCGTCTTCAGAAGAATCATCTTTTATTTTGAGTAATTTCAGAAAGTCTTGTACTGATAAATTTAAAATATGAGCAAACCTGATTAGAAGATTTTGATAGCAGAAATAAACACGAAGTGTTTATTTCTAGTATCAAAATCTTCTAACGAGGTGATCCAGATAATCCATAAATGTAAAATTCGAGAATGCATTATCCGTAGTTATTCTTTGAATTTTTGATGAATTAATACTCTACTCTGTCATAGTGTTTTGAAATAGCGCTGCAATTTCTTTACCAGAATGTTGATCTTTTATGGGAATAAAATCCATATAAAAGACTGAATTTTCGAATTGCAATTAATGTACTGAGAAATAATTATATAATTTATAATTCGTAAAATGATTTATTCGATATTGCTGTCCATTGTAAATGATATTTCAGTTTGATTTTGATTTACTTATTCATTGAAAATCAATCTAACAGTGTCTCGAACATTTAAACTTAGATAACACCAATAATCGCATAATATTCCTGTTTGATAGAATAACAAGATTATTCATAAATAAAAATAAATTTTTCGTTGCTTCATCTTCAAAAAAATTAAATGGCAAATATTTGTTAACTATTCTATAAATATTCTACCAAAAGATTATGAAATTTTTCCTGATTAAATGCTGCACTTTGAAAAATAAAGGAAGTAAAAAATAAATTTTAATATAATAAAATATAAAATACAAATATAAAATAAAATATAAAATACACGAATATGA